AGGGGTAGGTGCTCCAAATGGTAGCTGTTCTGGGAGTGGGGTGGGCAGGTGGGGCTGGGGCCAGGATTGCAGGGCAGTGACACCACAAGGCCAGGGCCCAAGACAGAGCCACTCTCCCAGCACGGCCCTGGGCTGTCACTGCCCCACGATCCCAGCCCCGGCCACCCGTCCTGCTTCTAGACATCACTCCCCGCCTGCCCACAGCCCCATCCCATCTGCCTGGCCAAGCATGCTTTTGCCCAGGGAGGTCCTGACCTGTCTCCATGGAGACTCACCATCTGCCTGCTCTGTCCTGTGCCCCCAGTGCCCCTTCTTCCTTTCCTACACCTTGCCCATCACAGAGGCCCCTGGACAACAACAGATTGTTATTGATCCAAACCTTGGAATTTCTTGTTTCCTAAATTGCAACAAATGGTGTTAAGATAAACTGTTTTAAAACAGATAAACATGTGGCAACATAGGCAAAGCTTATGTTACTAGTTTTGTTAACCTACCAACATCCTAATCTATTTTGCTGCCCCTCTTCTCTTCAATTTTTTTAACTGTAGTATGCCAAAAATGTAACCCAGAGGTTAGAGAATTCTGATACTGGTTCAGGGAGGAAAACAAGGCTCAAGAAAACAATTGTACTTTTATTCTAATAATATGTGAACTTTGCACTATTTTTAATAGAAAAGAGATCAAACAATTGCTGTCTGAATTGGATGAAGAAAAGAAGATCCGTCTACGATTACAGGTAATTTTCATTCAATAGGCAGGAAGCAACTTCACTGGGATAGTGGCAGATCAGATTTAGAACCAAGAAGCTCTTATGACACTTGAAATAAATAGATTCTGTTAAAGGAAAAGAAAAGCCTAATATAAACATTTTCCTAAAACTAATATATTTTAATCTTACGGTGTTTCAAATGTATATATTACAGAATGTCTGTATGTGTTCATGTACATATACAGTCTGTATACACACTGTATATGTTGCAGAAATATGTATACATTGCAATTTTGCAGTCATATTTGAAAATTATCTAGAAACTGAATGGTCCATTTTTATTGTCCATGCTGGAAAAAAACAAAATACTAAATATATAGTATTTAGTGGACAAAGTGAGAGATAATTTTAAAAAGAAATTAAAAATGTTAGTTTCAGTTACCCAAGTTGTTCTTGTTTATAAAGTAGCTAAGTTTATATGTTTGTTTTCAATTATCAATGATCTGGCAAAGCCTTTTTTTAAATGAAGGATTAATCCTATTGCATTTGAAAAAAATATTTTTAGATAACAAGATTTCACTGTCTCTTGCACATTGCACTCGGGTTTTCCTTAGCAAAGCATCTTAAATTTTTTTAAGGATATTTTCGTAATTAAGAATCCAGTTCCAATTCCCTTGACATTTAATGGTATTTTACCTAGAAGACTATCCAGCTGATTCAGACATTGGCCAGAGTAGAGGACAAGAAGCATAAGTATGAGGAACATAATGGGTCATCCACTATACTGGTTCAAATACTAAGAGACAGCTTTTTATAGTTTTTGGAGAGTACTTATTAGTTTTTCATTTGGTTAGCAAAGTTTAAGTTTTGATTATTTTTGATATTTTTTGTTTTCATATTGCAGTATGTATTCACTATTTTGTATTGATGATTCAAAATCAAAACCTGATTTCAATGTTCTAGTCTCACTAAATGAGATACTACTGAACATTTACAAGGGTGACAGAACCTGACCCCCAGGGCATGTCCACACATGCAAGCATATGCACTTGCAGCAGTTCAGATAGAAGCAGTACAAATTTGAGCTGGGGCTTTTTGCCTTGGCGCAGGTGCTCAGACATATACTTTGTTGTGGGGCAAATTGTGCTACTTGGGGCAGAATAACTCTGCTTGGCTGCTCCTGGATCTGCAGCCAGGGGGAGCCAGAGCCCAGGGCCAGCATCTGTGCTGTCCCCAGCAGTATAAAAAGGTGCCTTGTCCTGGCCCCATCAGTACAAAAAGCTGCCCTGTCAAGTAGCTCAGGGCTACTCGCTCTCAGAAGCTTCTGGGGCCCAGCCACTTGGTACCTGGGGACACTAGCCCTTGTGCCAGCTGGACTGCTGAAGCAGCCCTGAGAGTTTCCTGCACCCTCTACCCACAGCAGTCTGGCAGTGGGGGCTGCTACCTGCCTGTGACCTGCTGTGCACCTGCCAGATCTGGATGAGGTATCTGCCCCTCTGGTCCACCTGCCTGTGGCTGTGGCTGCAGGGTTGGCCTTTGTGCGGCACTACTGCCATGTGTGCCCCTGCCCAGCCATCTGGGCAGCTATCACCTGGAAGAAGTTCCGGGTGTGGTGGCCTGGTTTGAACTGTCAAAGCATGTCCTCCTGCCCCCAGTTGGCCAGGAGATCACCCACAGCCAGCTAGGTCCAAGGTGCCAGCTCTGAGAGGCAGGGTCCTGCCACTGGCCTCCCTAGCAGGAATTCTGGTGTTCCCTATTGGAAAACTGAAAAATCCCTGATACAAAAATCCCAAAGTCACTCTGTAAAATACCCCAAAATCCATGCTCACAGAGAGAGTGAGACAGAGACAGTGATCAGTTGGGCGATGTTTTATTGATATATCTACAGTGTTAAAGAAATTTTGAAGCCTACCAGTGTCTCTGTCATAATAATAAAGTGAATTCTAAATGCATGTTTCATGAATTCATGAATATGTTTTGCTGCCCCCCACAGGGGCCATGGCCCCCCAAAGGGGCTACCTCCCCCTGCAGGGCTCACATGGCCCACCCCATCCCTGTGTGCTCCCTCAGCCCCTGGATTGCTGCCCTGCCTGGCCCCATCTCCTGCCAGCTTCTGCAGCCCCCTGATGGCTGCCCCATCCAGCTCCAGCCTCTACTCCCCCAGACCCCACATGGACGGTCCCCACCCCAGCCTCTGGCACTTCAAAAAGAAAAAAAAAACCCTCTGTTCACCTCAGGAGCTGGGGGGAGTCTGTGGCCTCCTGGCAGAGCCCCCCCAGGCAGCAGGGGGCAGCAGGGCCCAGGCTGGGGTTGCTGGGGCTGTCACCCAGCCATGCACATGGCAGCTCAAACTGCTGGTAAGTAAGTGCCATGGGGTGGGGGGGGTTGTTTTGTTTTTCCCCCCAGGATG